CACACACACACACACACACACACACACACACATACACGCGTACACGCATACACACACAGAATACGCTTTCTTATCCGCCGCAATGATGTACTCTGCAGCCCTGACTGAGCCCACCATCGACTATGGCTTCCAGCGGCTCATGAAACTCGTCCCCAGACATCCCGGAGACCCAGAGCGGCTGCCAAAGGTAGGTGAACCATCTTGCAATCAGCTCAGATAGAACTTTTTGAAGAGTATAATAGACTGTTATGTATGGGAAAGATGGCACCCCGTTGCCTTTTTCATTTCTTTTCTTTTCTTCCGATTAATATTTTTCTGTGGTTATGTTCAGCAGAATTCATTTCTTACCTTTTTTATTTTACTTTTTTGTAGTAGTAGACCTTTTTTTTTAAAATTTCGCTTGGTTTTTCTCTCTTTCTTTTCCCCATTTTCCTGCTTGTTTTGTTTCTGTATGGACATTTGTTGGCGTTTACACCACCAAAGGTTCGCGTCCGTTTCTTTTTCTTTTTCTTCTTCTTTTTTTGGGGGGGTTTTGTTTTTGCTTTTGTTTTGTTTGGATTTTTTTCATATACCATTAAAGTCATTTAAGGATGTTTCAACTAAATTGGTTATAAGGTAGGCAAAGTTGATAGGTCCTGCTAGCTATTGTTTCCTGTCGGTTTATCATGTGTTGATTTTTCCTTGGTATTGAATGAACGGCCGTGTTGTGTGGATATGCTTCTCTTTACTGAAACATTAAAAATTTGATAAACCTACAGGAAATTATCCTGAAAAGAGCAGCAGACCTTGCTGAGGCCCTGTACAGTATGCCCCGGAACCCCAACCAGCTGTCCCTGCCCACGCCACGGTCCCCGGCCATGAACAACCCGGCCATGTCCGGCTTCAACGCCTACCCGAGCCAGTTGGCGGTCAGCGTGAGCGACACAGCGGTCAATGGTCAGTGGGAGGAGGGTGAGTGTTGTGCCTCCGCTTGGCTTCGGGCTTTTGTTGCTTTTTTGGGAGTTTTCTTCCGCTCGGAATGCTTGCTTTGGATTTGTTTTTCTTTATCACGGTCGCGGCAACTGAGGAAACAACAATAAAAACAATGGCTGCCAAATATTACTAAAAATAATACTCAGCATCCTTCTGGTCTGCTCGCTTCATTTTATCAGGTGTCGCTGCCGGCAGGTGTGTATATGTAAAAGGGGTGAAGGTATGAACCATTGTTTATGGCTGTCCAAGCACTTACTACTTACACATTTCACAAAATCAGACTTCAGCATAACCACCCGTATATGTGAGGACTGAATCAATGGGGTGGACAGGCATGGGAGCTTCTCAAATAACCTAAGTTAAAAGAAAAAAACATGGTCATGGATCTGAACCACGGACATGGTCACTGTAGTCTAGCACTATGCCATCTGTGCAAAGGTACCATTCAGGTATTCAGTGTTTTATAGAATCGTCCCATTTTAACTTAAGACCTTCTCCGCGTATAAATACACATACAATTGTGAAGGTGCATTGTCATCATTAATTTGAAAATCTTGTCTGGTGCCAGGGATCTACCATTGTAGTCATGGTCATTTTCTGGTTTTCTGCAGCATCGTGGTTCCGTCGTTCACTTTGAGTGTGTCGGCTTTATTTGTTTTTATCTAAGTTTCACTCCCTATTAGACACACATCGCGTCCACTTTTCCCACTGCTCGGTGAGTTACGAACCTCAACTACCACTTGCCAGTTCAAGGTTCGAAATTCAGTCAAGACGGAATTATTTTTCTCGCCTTTTCCGACATATATTTTCTCAGCCCGGGGTCTTATCTGTGGTACCAAGAGTTCCGCTAAGAAAATGAACCACATTATATCTGGTAGAGTGTTTGATGTACACCAATTGCGAATACACAGTTTCTAAAGGGGGAGGGGGTCATGTCTCTTTTTTATGGAATTAAACATGAACGAAACCCACTATCATTTGAAAGAAACCAGCTCTAGTATCCATAGTCCCCATGTCTAACTTCAGTTTACTTTTACAAGCACTTTTTAAAAAAAGTTTTCTTTTGTCTCATTATGCCATGACTTAAAGTTACGTTTGCATTCCCTGCTTTGGGTTACCTTCGGTGTCTTAAGTTGCGTTTTTGTGTGTTACAGATAAATATAAATCACGCATACACACACGTAGAATATCTATACACACCCGATTTTCGGAAGAAAGGAAAACACGTTAGTTGACAGATATTATGGAAGAAAGACTGTCAGACAGATTAAAAGAGAAACAAATACAATGACGGAACAATAGAGACTTTTATGACTTGCCAGCAAAGCTTGGTTAATAGCCCAAAATATATTCTTTTTTAAAGATTTAGTTTGCTTTAATCTTATCTTATGTTTTTTGTTCCAGCGGGTTACAACAGATCTCAAAGCTCAAGTGTCTCTCCTCGAGGCTACGGGTCCAACGGTTCCACTCCTCACAGTGTGAATGGGGGCGCTTATGGCGCCGCTCCTTCCATGAATGGTTACCATAGCGGGCCGGGTCCACTTGGGAATATGGGTAAGTTTGCTTTGGGTTTCTTGAAAATTTCTATAAGTATTGATTTTAAGTCATGTTATTATAAAGTTAATGGCAGTGAGGAAGTTTGTTGTTCTCACGGCGAGAATTTCCTCCTGCATGTATAAAACGATAGTGAGTTCAGTATAAATGCATGCTCGTTGTCACTTATCACACTTTCGTTACATAGGGCTACTTTTTTGTTTTGTTTTGTTCTATATAGATTTTGTACCAAAAATAAAAGAAAAATAGTTGGACTTAATCAGTCACAATGTAAAGGGATACAGCAGTGGAGCAGTTTCATAATACATAGCAGCTTGCCAAATGTACCAAACATACACTTGAAATCAACTGACGATTCTTGTCATCATTTTACAGGTCTTGACCACTTCCTTCGTGACGAGGCAAGCCGGATAGGCGCTGGTGAGTTGCCTGTTGTAGTGTTGTTCTGCGATTTACATGTTTGCTTTGCTTCCTCTTGGTCAAACTCACGCATGACTCTCATAGTAGACGCTTTTTCAACATGCTAAAAGTTTTAATTGTATTTTCGTATTCGTCAATATTTTTGCAAATCTCTAGTCTTCGGTTGCTTTCTTTTTCTTTTACAAGTTATGATGCACTGTGAAGTTTGGTCTAAAGTTCAGCACTTTTTGTTGGAGAGTTAAGTCGGCACTTGGATTAGGGAGGATTTTTGTAATGGTAAATAAAAGGAAAGATATTATGAAATCTCGTTGGTAGGAGAAAAGAGGATTTTTTAAAATGATGGGAGCAGAAGAAGGATAAGTATTTGGTAGGGTGGGTTTTTTTTAATCTGTTGTTGTTGTTTTGTTGGGGGGAGGGGGGGTTGGGGGGGGTGAGAAGTTGACGGAAGGAAACGAAAGTAGGAGTGAGAGGAAATGGCTCCACCTGAACCAACATCCCTTACATGGAACAGAAGAAAGTGGAATAGATTATCTTTGGAAAGGCATAAGTTGAGTTTCTAATTTTTTTTAAAGGGAAGTCCTCGATTTTAAAAGTTTCCTATGACAAGGCTTATTGTTTCTTAGAAAATGGTCCTCAGGAACACCTTTCTGGTTTCGAAAGGAATAAGAAAAAAAAATCTTGTTACACTTTGTATGACAGTTCTTCTGTGCATTAGAAACTGTTTCTACGTGATTACCGATCTTGTTGTTTCCTTTTTTGGTTGCTACTCCTGTTCTTGGTGTTGTACAAAATAGTTGGGTTTTCAAACGCACCCCCTCACCCCTGCCCCCAAACCCTCTCACTTATTCCCAGTTCTCTTTAATTTCTGGCCGAATACTTGTCTTTTATCACCCTTACTTTTATGGGGAAAAAATTAAGTAACAGCAGGTAAACTATCCAACGCGTACCCGAAACACTCTTAGCAGTTTATGTCAACGGCCCGCTTTTTTTCTTCTTTCTCTCTGTCCATCGTAGCGCAAGAACTACTAGCGACAGTCTATAAATAAAACCATGATTGACTGACACGTTTCTGAGAGTAAATTTAATATCTCAACCCCACTTCTTTCTTCTCTTCAATCGTTGCGCTTTTGGTTCATTATATTCAGTTACGCATATTTTTCTTTGTTTTTTGTGTCCTCAGTTACGTCACATAGCCCCCCACCCCTCCCCGCGCTCTCCTCCATACACACCCCCTCCAACCCACCCCAAGTGTCTGCCTCTGCCACCTCCCCTTACTCCTCGGGTGTCACCGCCCCTGCCCCAGCCACCAGCAGTTTCTTCCCCTTCCCTACCAGCAGTAAGGCCAAAAGTGCGTTCGCACCAGTGTACTACCATCCCGGGTTCAACCCCCAGCCCTTGCCCATGGGGGGCTACCACCACCACCACCAAGCAGCCCAGTACGGCTGGATGGCACCAGCACTCAACCCTTGTTAGTATCGTACCCATCTCTAGTTGCACACTCAGAAGACCTTTCCAGAAAATTTCTGGCTGAAATTGGGGGTTTTGTTCAGAATGTGCCGATCTGTTGTCTTCCTTCGAGAAGATGGTAGCTCTATTCAAGCACGTGAGAAGGAACATTTGTGCATACTGTGTTTTCCTGTAAGACAACACGTGGACAGTCAAGACAGATTAGAGTCCATGAAAACCTGTACCCAATTCTCGTAGGTAGATAATACTCTGTCTGAACGCCAAATGCCCCTTTTCTGAATTCGAGGCGAAATGGTACTTTTTGCGCTATAGAGCATAGCATTGTGAACTTAAGGCTCATTTCTTCTTTTGTTTTGTTTTATTGATAGATGTATATTTCACTTGTCATAGCATTACGCTGTTCAGTATACCCAACTCAGTTAACGAAAAGGAAAGGTCTTCAGGGTCCTTGTATGGTTTTGCTTCTGGCTTATCAATGTTGTAATAATTATTTTTTGGTGTTATTGTTAATTGCATAATGTCTTGTGGGGCTTGGAGTATTGAATACATTATCTTCTTTTCTCTATACAGTTTTATTTGCTTCTTGTGCTTTCAATGTTGTTATTTATTTTGTCACATAAAGCTTTGAAGATTGACACCTTTTTCTTAGTTTCAAAACTAAACCATTTTCATGTTCCTTTTAACGTATTCTAAGCATTAGCCCGAGACCACCACAAATGCGTTCGCTAGGATTGAAACTTGAACTTTAAAAAATAAAATACTTAAGGCAATTCCTATAAAAGAAACATCAAAGGTGAACTTTAGGTCCAGTTCTGCAGAATGAGCTTTACTTTCAGAGGCGAGAAACCAATCCCATAATATATGTATACTCATAAGAGGATTTACACGCTGTCACCTCAATAAGAAGTGAATTCGCCATGAAACTCATCTATTGACAAATAATTTTAGTCAAGTAAGTAAACAGCCTTAAGAAGACCTTTCAAATTCCATATCGGATAGACCCAATCCTGGTACTTTTTCGTACACTATCTTACTTTTTGGAGAGAACAAAATTCCAGCTACTTTTACCTTGGGGTGTCGAGGAAAGAAGCTAATCGCCTTGTCTTATTTGTTGTGTCGCTTGTTGCATGGTTATGTTGTTCTTGACTAATATTTCTCTGGCCCCTCTTATCCATCTTCTCCTGGGCCTGCGTCTTTCTCTGTACACTATCAATGTAGACAATTGTGTAATGACACGACAACAAACCTAATGTTCCTTCTGTCCTGTGTCCTCAGGAATGGGCGGTATCGTGGGTTCCCCGTTCTCCAGCGTCAACCCGTTCGGGCTCCCGACATGTGGCACACAGTCAGCCTATGGCAGCTCCATCGTGTCCCCAGCCAAATAGCGACCCCTCGTCCCCACTGCTGACTTTAGCTCGCACACGCACGACACAGGGCAACAGAGCTACTACACGCTAAGTAGGGCGGCCCACGAGAGGAAAAAGTTCCTCAGACAGAACTCAGACGAGTCTGATGACGTCATTGTGTTAAGCAATACACAGAGGTGGACGACTTCCGCTTGGATATGGACGTCATCTGAAGAGAGAACACCAGGAAAAAGAAAAGTCTGGAATACGGTGAGAGATCGTGTTCAAGAACAGAAGCAGCACCCGCCTGGGATCTTGACGTCCCCTGCAACGACACGTATTGTCCCCAGCAAATAAGAACTGTTTCTGTTCTTCTTTGGGTGTTTAACGTTATGATGCTAATGTCATCTCTGAAATGCGCAAGTGTTTTCCATGTGCGTGAGATCTCTAACCAGCAGACCACAGGCCAGAGAGAAACGCTGTTGTTGAGTTTTTCAAAACAGCGGTCTGAGCATACAAGAGGCTGGAATTTCTCAACGAACTCCGAACAGCAACACGCTTGCAACACTGCTTTCCAAATAACCCTTTCGTCTTAAAGACACTCACGCACCCATTCATCCCAACACTACTCACTTCTCCTACCTTGGTGTATATATTGTAAATTGTATAAACAAATGCTTCTCTTATGAGAGAATGATTTAATTCAAAGGACCGTGTTCTTTTGTCACACTGAGGATAGTACGTTATGGATCATTTACAAAGCACTGTGTGAGGATTCGGTTCTATTCTTTGGTCTGCTGTACAGGCACCAATGATTGTGACTGCATTTCTTAAGCGATTTGAAAGCTACACACGTCTCCCTAAGACACTAGTTTCTGTTCTGCAAAATTCTGCACTTTCACAAAAGTCAATAGGTTTATACACATGTATTCTTCAAGCTTTCACAACAGGAAATGGATTCCGGAGTGAATAGTTCAGAAAGATTACAAACCAGGATAAATCTTGAATACTTTGAGTTAACTGGAACGCACATGACGGGTATCCACTTTCTTCATGATGTCACCGAGTTATCCAGTAGCACTGATATTCCCTGGCGTCATGAGTTAGAATGATCTGAAACACAAGACGACATCAGGATTCACGGGTTTCCCCATTTTTCAAACCTGTTCATTTTGACGTTAAAATGTTAAAACCATATATTTTGGTTTGGTCATTTTGATGAGAATGGTAGGCCTACTCTTGTACTTACCGACTCTGCCACACAGGTCAGGTTTTAACAGGCAGCAATACACTGACACATTTGACCTGCAGACAACTTTCCTTTCGTTCAGGTCAATAAATCATCAACAAGAGGATTAGTCTCCATGACAAAGCACACGAAAGGATAATGATACCTGACAGAAGTCAAAGTTGTCTAATGACCTTTCGTAATGCTTTGAAGTGGGACAAGATTATCTTTTACCCAAGGCCTTTCAGCGATGAATATCTTTAGATATATCTTTATGGTCAAAAACTAGAATAAAATCAGCAATTCATTAGAGCTGATTCTCTCATCTGTGCATGAACATTTGAGGACGTTACACATTGGAAAAAAGTACCTGACCTTTCCTGGCAGTCCCTGTATCACTTCTCCGTGATTGCCCACAAAGGACGTCGGGGAACGTAAAATGTCAGTCCCCTATATAAGACATACTTCTTAACGCTCCTCATCTAAAGTTGTGTTATTTGAAGAGTCGTGTGAAATAGAAGCCACTGACACAAAATAAGTATTATTTTATAAATTTAATGCTGCCTTCACTGGTTGGATTATATTAATGTCTTTATGTGCTTGATCCCTGTTCCGTTATCTCTGCTAACAATGACTATGTGCTGTCATTTTATTGGGCGTGTCCTGCTTGCAAAATAAAACTCAGAGAGATAGGGGAATATTTTCATTTCACAAAAGTACTAGTGAGAAGAGTATTTCAATATTTGAAAAAATAAATAGTTATTGAATCCTTTTGTCAAATTTCATGGGGAAACGTGCGTTTGTGTGTGTGTGTGCGTGCATGTGTGTGTGTGTGTGTGTGTGTGTGTGTGTGTGCGTGTATGCGCGTGCGTGTGTGTGAGTGTGTGTGTATGTGTGTGTGTATGTGTGTACGTGAATGCATGTGTGTGAATGTGTGTATGTGTGTGTGTTCGTGTGGGTGGGGTAATGAGAAGATGATAACAGTGACACAGATCAACAAGAATGACGTTCACCTCGAACAGGTGTACTTTTTTTGTGAACTTCATTCCTGTAAATCTTAAGACGACCCTGCCGTCTGAAACAGTTCAGCAAAATACAAGCTTTTTATGAAATCAGTATTTGGAAAAATTTATTTACATTTTCAGGCATTAAAACAGGGACTTAAAGTTATGACATGAAATAACAATCAAGGTAATGCGTTATTCTATTTATTTATTTATTTATTTATTTATTTATTTATTTATTTATTTATCTATTTATTTATTTTTTATTTATTCATTTCTTTCTTTCTTTATTTATTTATTGGTACTTGAACGTTTTATTTTCGAATTTCCTCTTTGATTTTCAAGTCGCAAATGAAATCCTTTCACATCTAGAGGGATTCATCGGTTTTAAAAGAACATTATACTTTTTCCCAAAAAATTCTTAAAACCCCGAAGAATCTCAAGTATTGTTTTGCCAGACTTTGACACACCAATATCATGGACTGTACAAACCTTGTGGTGGGTGAACGTTCCTGCGCACTGCTACTTAATTAACATTGTAAAGAGAGCCACTATTGTTGTTGATGTCATAATTAATTATTTGTATTGGACCAATACATCCCTGACTGTGTCATTTTTAGTGGGTCCCTTGTGTCTGATTTGTGTTGATGGGGTATGGGGTTGTTGTGATAAGGAAGTCAATGTGCTCTTGAAACACTCTCTTTCTTTATGTAGCTCTTTTGGGAAGAGGTCATTTTTATTTTAATGTAAACAATGAAACACTAAGAAAGCTGGGCGTCTCGGCACGAATGCCCCCCCCCCCTTTCCACCCTCTAACCAGTACTACTCAGAAGTACATGTAATTCATTCCTATCTTTAAACAAAAAACAGACCAAAAAAACTTACCTGTTCGTTAATCTGGATTTGTCTTTCAATAAGCAAATTAAATTTCCAGAGGAAAATTTCAGATTAGAGGAATTCTAACTGACTAATAAGAAACATAGTTGTTTCTTCATTTCTCTTTTCTTTTTGTCTTCTAGCTTCAACTGTGCACTTTGTCTTTATATTTGGATCCAGTTTGTCGCAACAAAGACGTACCTCGTATTGGTGTTTCGTTTAAATAAGACCTAACTAAATCCTTCTGGGATTTATAGTTTCACATATTGGTGTTCTCGACCAAGAATCAAAAGCAAAGAAACTGGGCCACGACTAGGAGAGAAGAAAGATTTGAAAAGACACATTTCTTTAGAAAACAATAGGTGCTTCCGAGAGTCAGGGCAAAGAAGGTTCGGTACTTGGGGAGGGGGGAAAAGGGGGGTTGAGGGGTAGGTGGTGTTTTTAAAAGAAACGAAGCGTTGCAAGCCTCACAGATTGGAATGGTTTGAGTTGAAAGCTCTTCGAAACACAAAAAGGTCATTTGGAGGGCTGGCTTCACTGGAGAGGCTTCAAACTCAAGTTGCCCAACTGTTTCAGTTATTATTGAAGCCTTCTAATTATGCACACAGATAGGCCTACCCTGGAGTTGCCCGTCACTCCCTCCCCCTCTTCTCTCTCTCTCTCTCTCTCTCTCTCTCTCTCTCTCTCTCTCTCTCTCTCTCTCTCTCTCTCTACCTGTCTGTCTGTCTGTCTGTCTGTCTGTCTGTCTGTCTGTCTCTTTTTTATCTCTCTGTCTCTCTGGCCACCGCCTCTCTCTCTCTCTCTCTCTCTCTCTCTCTCTCTCTCTCTCTCTCTCTCTCTCTCTCCTCTCTCTCTCTCTCTCTCTCTCTCCTCTCTCTCTCTCTCTCTCTCTCTCTCTCTCTCTCTCTCCACGAATCAGCCTGTCTGTAAAATTGATCTCAAGCTTTTTGAGCATCAGTAACACAGTGCACATTGTTCCTGCAGGAGACTACTACTCACTCTCGCTTTTCATCGGCGTAGCCCTCGACAGATGCGCGAGGGGTGTCCTTCATTGTTGTCGTTCTCGCTGTGCGCGCTTGCCAACACTTCAGACCGTTTCAGAGCTAGCAATTTAAAATGGTGTAACAATGGCGTATCTAGATAGCATGGACATGCATCTGGAGGGATTTGTTTTAAACCCTTAATGGAAGGCGGGGAAGAGGGGAGGGCGTAGTTTATAGACGTTACTGTTAGTTTCTGATTTATAGTTTGATAACTTCCTCACTTATAATTGCACACATACACACACACGCACACACACACACACACAAACATATGCACACACACACACACACACACACACACACACACACACACACACACACACACATGCACATATATTTGTTCCTGTGCTCGCATGAAGTAAGAAGGGCGGAGTTTTCCCGTTTTTGAAAATCTGCTTTTCTAAAAAAATAGATGCGTCTGCGCATATTATCATAACCTCAAAACAAAACAAACAAACAGGTAAATAAACAAACAAAAATGGAGAACCTTCCTCTGATTGATTTTTTGTGCCAGATTTAAGTTATCAGGTCTTCGAATCGTGCTCAGTACCTTACCCTGTACCATAACCAAATCCTGTACCCAGTTCTCCACCTGTCCCCTAACCAATCCCGTATCCCTCATTCTAAACCATTTTCAAAGGTTGTGTCCCATGAACATACTTCCTGCGTTTATTTTACCAAAATCTGGCGTAATTCGCCGAGTGGCAACTTCTTCCGATGCGCTGGATGCTTTTGATTTAAAGTGCAATGTACATGTCTAGTCCTGACCATAAATTATTGTTATAATTTTGCACGAGATACTAGTCATTGTCACTGTCCTCATAATAATACATGTTTTATTACGTGCATATTGTATATACATATGCAAAATTATTAATTAACATTATTCATAAACGTGTATTTTGCCTCTCTCTTTACGTGCATCCTCATTTGAATGTACATGTAAACTTGTGTCATCATTTTATGTTTATAGAACCATTCATGCATCAATTACTAGTGAACTGTAAATCGAGACAAAATGTCTTCATGTATCTTCTCTGCTTAGCACGGGTATATCTGATGGCCTGTATGACAATAATAACTTAATGTACTGACGTCAAGCAAACGACAGCTAAAGTCACGTGATCTCATTTGTTTCAACTACGACTTACAGTTGAGCCTCGAAGCGTAATCCACTATAATGCAAAATGACATTGTCATGTTTCGCCTCTTTTTAAAGGTACATGTTGTACTTTTATTGGCATGAAGAACTAGGAGAACATAATTTTTCAAAGGCATAGACCTTGGTCCTTCAGTAGAGAACCCTTACTTTCAGCCTGGCCATTATTATGGCCAGTCGGCTGTTACTATGGACAGTTCTGAGGCTCCGACGTAAATGAAACATCGGTTGTTTTTTCTGTTCAGTATGAACATTTGATAGGTTTAGTCACGCCTACTAAAACAGCTGAAAGGACAAACATAAGTAAATGATCTGATTGAAATCTACTGTTCACTGCTTAAAGGTTGTGCGTATGTGTGACGATTTCTATACCGACAATCGTCATGAAAATAAAAGTCTGCTTTCTGTCTTATTGTACGATGATAAACAGAAAACGTTAATATGTATAAAAAGGAAAGAAAACGAATATTGCACAAAATTGTAAATCTACTAGATTAGCGAATAACGAAGAGAAAGCTTGCCATCATGCGTAATTCAGTATGAAAGGAATTGCGTGTGTTTAAATGTGTTTTGTTTGTTTTTTAATGTGCGTGTATGTGTGTATGTGTGCAAGTGTGTATATATATGTGAGTATGTGTGTGTGTGTGTGTGTGTGTGTGTGTGTGTGTGTGTGTGTGTGTGTGTGTGTGTGTGTGTGTGTGTGTGTGTGTGTGTGTTATGTATACCATGTTGTATGTATAACGTGTATTATGAGTGTGAGATGGTTTCATTACCGTGTTTATCTGTCTATATTATCTTTTGACACACAGACACACAAACAATAAACCCATTCACATACACCAACACACACACACACAAACACACACATACACAAACTCGGATATGTATGTATTTATATGCACACATGTGTGTGAGTCTGTGTTTGTGTGCATGTGTGTATGTGTGTATGTGTATGTCTGTGTCCGTGTGTTCGTGTCTGTAGATGTGGGTATGTGTGTGTTTGTGTGTGTTTGTGTGTGTTTGTGTGTGTGTGTGTGGGGGGGGGGGGGGGCATGTGTGTGTGTGTGTGTGTGTGTGTGTCTGTGCGTGTGTGGGCTTGTAAAATAAAAGGGTAAAAGGCTTGGGGTTTAGATTTGCCAAAGGGAAAAAGCTGACTTTTGAAGACGGGTAAAAATGTTGATGTTTTTCTTTATTCAGTTCTCGTGAGTATAATGTCTCTGGCTGGAGATACCTCCAAATATTGTATAGATGAGTATATTGAGTAAATGAATGAGTGCAAAGACGTACTGGGGAGTGAAAGGGAAATCGCACGAGTAAACCAGGAATTGGATTGAGAGTGCAAGAAAAAAAGGTAGGAGAGACAGAGAGACAGAAAGACAGGAAGAGAGCTAGTGAATGGAATAGTGTCTACCACAATTAAACAAACAAAAAAGAAAAAAAAAGAGTTGATGAATGTGGAGAGATTGAGATTGTAAAGGCTGTGCAGAGAATCTTACTGATAATACTCAATATTTTAAAAATTACTAATATTAATAGTACAAAAACAACAAATGAAAGATTCTTTAATTTGTTTATAATTGTATGACGGGTTATGAAAGAGGGGTTTCAGCATGAACATATTATGATATTATATGAATATATGTAATGAATTATGGCATTTGGAAATTGATTTTTAATAAAAAACAGTCACTTTTA